GCCCAACATAATTGCCATCCATTCCAACTGCCTCACATACACACCGCTGCCTACTGCTCGTTTACGGCTCCCCCCTCACACCTATTGTTCCCAGTCGCCATATCCCGAGCGCGCCGACCTACCTACACAGTCAACAGCACTACGCCATGCACGCGCCCGCCCTCCCCCCCTCCCCATCCCCTCCCCTCTCACCCAATGCCGCTTACCACCGATGCTCTTCGCCGCGTCCTTCAAGCTCCCCGCGAAGTACTGCTGCAGCACGTTCAGCCCTATCGTCTTCTCCGTCGTGCCCCGCCTCCTCTCAAACCTCCGTCGATGACTCGCCACGTCCTGCCCCAGGCCCGGGCACCCGAACCCTCCCATGCCCAGCCCCTGCTCCACAGGCAGCTGCTCCGAGTGGTACCCGGGGTACACATGCGACTCTGGAATGCGAAGCCCGTCGTCGCGCCCTCGTCCTAGCAACACTCCGTGAGAAAACTGCTGCAATGCAGAACGCTGCGGCACGAACCGCGCTGCTTGCTGCACGCCGTGCTGCTGCTGCATCACCTGCGAAAACGCCGGGCTCGTCTCCTCGCCATTCACCCCGCCACCGTGCCTGTTGAAACCGCCACGCCATGCCAGAAAGTCCTCCTTGTTGCACACCTCCTTCGCCTCCAACTTCACCGCCTTGGCCTGCATCTCGATGCTCTCCGCCATCGCCACTCTCCGCTCCTCCTCCAACTCCCTCTCGCTCAGAGTCCGCAGACTCTGACAGATGCGTTGCATTGTGATCGACAGCGAGTTCAGCATCTGCTGCTGCTTCTCGCTCTCCACGCAATCCATCGGAAGGAAGAACTCCAGAATGAAGTCCTCGTCCCCGGTGTGCACGCTCCGCAGCCGAATCGCCACGGCCGACACCAGCCCGAACAACTTCGCGTAATGCCCCAGCGGATACTCATCCTTGCTGAAGCTCTTCACGTCCGAGTCGAAAACCGGCAGATTCGTCAGCATCGCCTTCCCGGGCACTCCCTGCCCCTTCTCCAACGCATGTTCCAGACACGCCCGTCGAAACCCCCACATGCGTGCCTCCCCAACATAACACGGACCATCTCCGTCGACTATCCGTAGCACGACCTTCCTCACACCACGCCCTCCGTTCACCTGCACCGCGTTGTGGCTCTGCGCCTTCGCGTCGCCCCTACCGCCATACCTGTACGTGGGAACCCACGTCTGCGCCAGGGGCAGCTTGTGCGCCTCGCACACGCCTTTCAGCACCTCCGCTATCTCCGCCAGCGCGGCTTGCCTACCCCACGACGACCTCTGCATCGCACCACCAACACCCACCCTACTCTCCTCAGCGTCGTCAACATCATCCACCCCTACGACTCCTCCCTCCGCTCTACACCTCCTGCCACACACGCCTCACCGCCCCCGATGCCTAATCTACTACACGGAAAACCAACCATGGCAACTGGGACGCGCGCGTCAATTGCCACCTCCCTACACTACCAGCTTCCCCGAACGACACCACCATGCACGCTCCCAATGCGCAACCATCCAGCGCGCTGCGTCTCTAACATTACGAATTTGCACACACCGCGAGGCACCAGAAACATGAAAGCAGCACACTCAAAATCATCATAGTCACACACACACGCGCATCGCATTGCGATCGAGCCGTGCGTACCTCTAGCGGCGGAGTCTCCAAGCCAACCGGACATGTCAAATTCACAGCCTGCACTCAGCACCACAACCTGCCGCCTTAGACCGTCATCCCCCACTCACCCAACGCACTGGACGCTCTAACCGCGTACCAAGTGCCCATCAACACCCTCCTTCACCAAATCCCGTGAACTTGCACAGAAACAAACAACTCTGGAAACCCATCCCCGCTGCTCTACAGCACCTTCCATCTCCTAGCTGCCTGGCTGGCTAGCTACACACCATTCCCCAGCCTCGCCACGTCAATGTCGCTGCTCGCAACCATCACTCCACCACGATGCAAAACCTACCTGCAGAGCTCGAGCAATGATGTCCACATCAGGACCATACTGGATCTTCTCAGCGCGACCAACCAGCTCGATTACAGCCACGCACTGGCGACTCACGGGGTCAAGCACTGGAACCGCCAGAGACCCCCGTATGTCGCACCTCTGCGCCTCCTTCACACGCAGGTACTCCTGGCTACTGTAATACTGCACGTTCGGCGTCCACTCCGCCTGCTGTCCCGTGAACACGCGCCCCGGCAGCTCCAAAACCTTCCCCTCCGCCCTCTCCGCTGGAAATTCGTACCCCTCCGTCATGTTCCTGTACAGCCACAGCTGCTCGTTGTTCGGCTCCACCACGAACGGCTGCTCCCGCGTCAGCAAACACTTCCGGCTCCCTTGCACCACCGGCATCCATACCTGCACCAGCACGTCCTCCAGCGACTGCCCTATCAGCCGAAGTGCCTCCATCATTCGATCGCGCAGCGGCAGTGGCAGCTCCGCCGCAATTCGGGGCCTCCGCACGCCCGCCTCCAGATTGCCGCTGCTCACGGGGTTGCCCTCCACCGTCGACACCGACGACTTGTCGTCTTCTTTGTCCACCACGCCGCCCTCGCCGATCTCCACCTTCCCGTTCCTACCATCTACGCCCCCTCTGGAATCTCCCATGCCCCTGCCATCCCTCGCCACCACTCCGGCCAGCCCCTGATTGCCCAGCAGCATGTGCGCGGCCTCGCTCAGGCTAGGGCTGCTCAAACTCCGACCCCCGACCGCCGCGCTGTAGCTGCTCATTCCGGACACCACAGCGCTGGACATGGCCAACGACGATTGCGACGAGCTCGCACCTGGGATGGATTGCTGCTGGGACGACTCCAGAGCTTGCTGCAGCATCAGCTCCTGCTGGAACGCCTGCACGCTGGCCGCCAGGCTACCATTCGCGTACGAGAACGCTTGCAACGATGCCAACGCGGGCACCGGGCCTGCGAACACGCCGCCGTGGGACGACGCCGGGAGCGCCAAATACCCCCCGTAATCGCCATAGTTGCCCTCCGCCCACGACTCGCCCAGCAATTGCTCGTGCAACGGCTCCAGCTCCATCAGATCCGTCAACACCGCCTCGTCCATCACGAACTTGGACTCCCCCGCGCTACCTCCTAACCCTGCCAGCACCCCCATCGCCTGCGAGACCACCTGCTGCTGCTGACCATGGCCCCCGAACTCCGTCGTCGGCCTCCACCGCGGCACGCAAGCACGGCTCGCCTGCGGCAGCTCCATGTCCACCCCGACGGCCCCTAACACTCTCCAGGGCGCACTACGACTCCCCCTCCGCCATTCTCATCGACGACAGCACACCCACAATGACCACCACCACTACGCGCCTCCCCCTTCACCTCCACCAGCAGCACTTTTACAACACGACGACGCCTTCGTCGACGCCCCCTATCCCACACGGTTCTGCCGTTGTCCGCCCCCAAGGCTTGCTTGGCTTGACTGAGAGCATCCACTCATGCGAAATAACAACAAAGGTAGAACCTTGAGTTTGGGGGATGCAAAGAAAGTCGCAGGCTTTGGCCCGGTTTGAGACTGGAAGTGAGCGTGCTGTTGTTCGTCATTGGTTCAAGTCCGTTAGCTCGCGTCTGTACCCACCCAGATTAGTGAGAGGCTTCTGTTCGATCGGCTGGGCTTTGTTTGTCTTCACTGCCGGATTGGCTTGTTCCCCTTCTGTGTCGTGGCGTTGTCCTCTCTGTCCCGGATATCAATCTTTGCTGGATTTGTCCTTTTCTGTTACCATAGCGTATTCCTGGACCTCCGAAATTTCGTTCTTTGTTCGCCCTTTTCTTGATCCCTTTGTTTGATTTCTTTTTGTGGCGTTTCTGTTTGTGGCTTTTTTTTATTATTATTATTTTGTTTCACTTTTGGACTTGATTTGAGAATTCACGCTGGCTTTGTGTGTCAGGCGGTGGGCCCGTTTTTGTATCTGTGTTATGATAGTTGTTGCGTTTCCTCTTGCACCGTTGTTAGAATTGTGGGTCATGGTTCGATTTTCTGTTTCATCGTTCCCGGATATTATTGCCCCTACATATCTCCGGTCTTGAACCCACACTCCTCGTTGTTCTCGGAGGGTGTTGCTCACTATTTCGATCTCGTGTGGCGTTTTCCCCTAGCCCTTTTTTGTCCAGGCCTGCGCTTTTGCTTTGTCCGCCGCAATTCTGCGGATGCGGAATCCGTTTTTCGATGTCTCGTTTTTGAATAGTTCCGGCTGTTCATTTGCAAAGTTGTTGTCAAGCATCTGCAGCGTTCCTCTTTCTCTATCAGTTCATCGTTTGTCTACTGTAATCCCCTAGGCTAGGGAGAGCCTTCTGATGCTGTTGGAATCTGGTGGGGGCTTTTTCAGATTATGTTTTGTCTTTTGGGATGCTGTTTTTGGTGCAATGATCTTATCGCAAACTCTTCGTTTCCGTGCATGGACTGTTCGTTGCTGATGAAATCTTTGTATATTTTTTAAATTTTATTAGTAATGTTGTTAATTTGTGTTTGTCGTCTTTGAGAGATAGTTATGAGTTCTGACGAAACATGCACGCTCGTCAGCGGAATGTGCTGCGTGTTATCCAAAGCGTTGTTGAGACACTTTGTATAACAATGTGGTGTGAAATTGGGTAGTCGAGTTCTTCGATGTGTCTTTTATTAGAATGATCCACAATATACTCTTGCGCACTAAACTATGTTAGAATATGTTCAAGGATGGAGTGCGAAGTGACATGCTCTATTTATTTATATTTAGAGCTTTGTGTTTGTTTTTAGTTTTGATGAAGGATTGTTGCTCGTGTGTGTTTAAAATCAGTCAGATTATAGTTGTGATTCATGTGTATGTTTATCAACTGACAGAAATTATTTTAAGGTTTGCTGCTATGTGGCCGTTTGTGTACGCTATTTGCTTATGACAAAGTTTATTATTGATATAACATTGCGTCAGATTTGTTAAATGTTTTAGCATTATTATTGGTGATAAATTATTGCATTTTTTAGACTATGAGATTTAAGGAATTTCACCTTTCACAGAATTATTTTTCTTTTTCCTTCATGTTTAAAATACAGTGTCCAATGGGGCAGCACATAGTGTTGTTTTTTGTTTTTTGTTTTTTTGGTAGTTATTGAATTTTTATTTATTTTCTGTGATAGTCAAGGACTCAAACACCACTAGTTTCAATAGTGATTTTATAATCAAGCATATGGGTGCACTTCAAATCCTAAATGTTTTGCATAAATATGAAATTATCTAGCTTCTACTTTATAATGTATAAAGATTCAATATACATGTACCTTTTCAATCTAAATGTAGAAGGTTGTAGCTCTACCTTCATGCACTGCAAATCTTAATTGTTGAATGACACATGAATAGGTAAAAATAAGATAGAAAAAACAAAAGAGAACTTCAACAAAGGCACATGTTTGCTTCTAGTTGTACTTGTGCCGAAGTACTTTACTTAAATCAATCCAACACTGAACAATCTTGTCTAGTGTTGAGAAGAAAAGACATAGCCACTCGTAAAAGATGCCTCATCATCATTATCATCACACTTTTGGTGATTGTAGAATATCCTTGCCTTATGTTTCACCCACCAAATCCATTTCATTGTTGTGATGGCTTCAAATAAGATGAAACAAAATTATATATATATATATATATATATATACATATATATATATATATATATTAATGCATGTTGAATGTAGGAAATTTCATTTCATAAATTAGGGCCATGTCATGTCGTGATACATTAAGAAGATTACATTTATGCTCATATGCATGAATGCAATATTTATTTATTTATTTATTAATGCAACTTGCAAACATATTTCAGTACACAAGAAACATGGTCACTATTTTTAAAACTAATTGAAAGTTTATAAGCAAAATTACATGTCATAAGTGTTTCAAATATATAATGAATAAGTAAATTTATACACTTCAATATTAAAATATGTAAAGATACCAGATCCTTGTTTGTGTCGTGATTTGTTTTTATTAAAAGCATATAAAATACCTGGATATGAAAAATAACAACAATATAATAAAATTATACAATAAAAGTAAATAAATTCTAATTTTGAATGTGAGCTTTTAACAACTATTATGATATTGGGATTGAAATAATTTTAACTTGTTCAAACTTAAATTGAATAAAAAGTAGTACATAATAAAAGCTTACTTTTTATGATTGTGATTCAGAAAATATATCACACTTTGGAAATCTTGAAAAGCATCGTCATATCAACATTACAAATAATTTCAACCTGTTTAAATGGTAGAATAATCTGTAAACATGTTTAATTCTATATATAGATGTAGATACAGATATATTGTATACATGTGTGAATTTAGAATGTCATAAAAAAAATTGTTATTCATGTTGCAAATATATTAGAATTAGTTTTTAGTTTCCAAAATTTTAATTTTATTTTAAGTCATTTGGAATTATTTAATGTAAAAATATTAATATGTTTTAAAATTGGACTATAAAATCGATACCCAACATGGCCTACAATTTATGCACTTTCTTTTTGTATGTAGTCACTTTGTTGTGAAGCTTAACTGAGGGCATTCCTTTGTGTTTTCAATGCGAACTGGGCCCAGCCTTGGATCAAGGCAAGCATATTGGCATATCCACAATCATTAATGATAGAATTGCAAATATGGGGGGTGGTGTGGGGTATGTGGCATTGGCTGTGGACATAAGCCCCATGGTGGCATACTACTTAGGAAATGTGTCCAAGCCTGCCCCCTTTTTTAGTCATCTGAACGGGGAAGGTTCCTATGAAGTGTGCGTGGGTTTGACTAGAGCATTAAGGACTATTAAAGAGATTTGGGACATAAGTTGCAGAGAAGTAGGACAAAGGCACTTATGAAAACATTGCTTAGAGGTTTCACTATCAAGGATGACATTTGTGGCTTAGAAACTTGACTATTATACTGATAGAAAATGAATTTCACATGTGCATATTGTTTAATTGTATCTGGTAAGTAGTAAACCTCATAAAATTTAATGCTGTAAACATTGGAATTTGACTCAATGATCTTAAAGTTCTAAGATCATAGTCCTTTCTTATCTGTTTTGTTTGTTATCAATAAACAGATTAAAAGTTTAAAAAACTAAAGATAAAAAACTAAACTTGAGTTTAATGTCCATTTGAATATTGAAGAAACCACAATATATTACAAGATAAAATGTCAAGATGATGGATGCAAGTGTTGTATTAAGATACATTAATTCTAATTTGGTATTTTTTTAAAAATTAAAATAATAAACATAAAATAATTGTATGATAAAAGGATTAAAGTCCTAATATATTTATATTGGCTGGTGTTAGAAATGTTTGTCCAATTTGTCAGATTATGTCACTGTTTTGTTTAGGTGTTCAGATTTCACAAATAGTTTTAGGAAAAAAAAAAAATAATAAATAAAAAATGAATTCATTTCAAAAACTTATATTTGATGTTATACATCTTTCACTAAAAATCATATATAATATCAAATTAAATCCTACCAAAATCTTAGGAATTCAACTTTTGTACAAAATTACATCAAAAAGATCATATATATATATATATATATATATATACATTAGGGCAACTTGTTTTGAAGCACAAGTTGTCATGTCCGAAATGGACTACTTACGTCGTCATTGAGACCAAAATGGTAAGTCAAAGAGTCTTGTGGTGTGGATATTCCAAGTTTAATTTCAACCACAAATTTCAGGTTGAAATGCTGAGCTTCAAATAATAAAAAAATAAAAATAAAAGTCACTTAAAAATGACATTCACACCTAAAATGTAGCCTATTTGTAAAGATACTCCAAATAGTTGTTAGGTCCACAATTGAGTAATATCATCGCCAAACCTCAAATAGATGTGAATATTTGTTCCAAATCTCAAACATAATAGTTGGAATTCAATGTTGAAAAAATGATAATAATGATAATAATAATAATAATTATAATTATTTATGTATGAAGTTTTCCTTCACCTTCTTGTCTACAGAAGCCTGTAACTGGGTATTGTAGCCATGAACCACATTTTTATCATATTTGTAGCTTAAATGTCTTCGAAAACAGAATCTGTATTGATCTATAATCAAATCTACTTTTGTTTACTTTTATTTAAATTTATAATTTATTTTATTTTTACAAACTTTATTACAGTAATAGTGATAGAAAAATGATGATTATTATTGTAGAGGAAAAGTTGCGGATTTATAGTTCTCTATTGTAAATATTTTTTTCAATAATTTGAAATTGTCACTTGAATCAATTGTTCATTAGTGCATGATCATATATGACATAGTGATTATAAATGAAATGGCTTTGACCAATTTCATGCATCATTATATACAAAATTTGTGGTTCTATCTTGTATTCCAAATAATAAATATTCTAAGTATAATATTTTTAATTTTTTAAATAAAAATTTCCTTTTAAGTGAAGATGATCCCATGATACTACATGCATGCATAGATGCATACGTGCATACTTGAAAAGATGCACACATACGATTGTGTATAAATTGATATTAAATTAATATTTTATTATGTTTATTACTATTACATTTAATGTGTTTTTATTTTTACATTTTTTTGTCACCACAAACCAATAAAGTATGTACACCATTAACCAGTATATATATATATATTTGACTATATAATTTTTCACAAAATACTGCACAAATTTTCATTTTCATTTTCAATTTTTTTTTCTATGATAAAAACTTGTGGCTTGTGAATTTACTCTAATAAGTATGAAAAACACATTGCAATGCATCATTTTCAAATACTATTGGATATATGAACAATATCAAATTACACATAATTGAAATAATTGTTATGTTTTAAGAGATACCAACATCCCTTGCCTATCCACTACTACTACTACTAATTATTACTTCCAATATCATAAAAATTACAAAAATTATTAACATCTCCATGTCCCATCGTTTTTGAACCTATTGTAGCATTCCAAGGCATAGAAGTAAATATCATGTCCGAATTATCTTTGGAAAATCAAATCATTCTTACATTTTTTAACCAATTAAGAAATAAACTAATGAATTTTTTTTTTTACCTATTTTAAGGACATCACCATTTTTTATATAAAAAAACATTTTTTGCAATATGTTGATTAATAATGTAAATTAACATTTTTATTGAATGAACTATCTATCCTTTATCCTTGCTAATTCATTAATGAATTTAATATGATGGATATTCAGACGTTAGTTTCTACTGTCAATTAAATTAGGGGCTAATTTTAAAGCTTAGAATTAATTCTAATTATTTTACATCAAATTCAAAAAACAGGCTCTACACTTTATATAAGCATATATATACACAGATACATACACACAAACTATTTGTCTAAATTATACATTATCCTTTTTATTGGTGTTTTATTTATTTATTTATTTAAAACTTGCCTTATAAATTCACAAGCCTTATTTGATTGTGGAATTTGAAGCCTCAAAAAGCATGCCATGTAGATGTACAAGATATGAGTTGCGTTGACTTGGATTCTTCACAATAAGAAAGAAAATTTCAAGATTTTATGTTTTTTGGTGTTATTGCGGATTCAAATTGACAAAGAAAAATATCCGACTTTATTAGGGTTTCATTGTTACTCATTCAAAATTTTGTAATGATGTAAAATGGAAAGAGTTAGAGATGATGTCACTTGAGTTTGGTGGTTCATGGACATGGCAAAAGACCTTTGCACAAAGAATTGGTGCTACAATTTTGTATGTGGGTTGAATTTAGTTTTTGTGTCCTTGGTTATTGTCCATTTGGGTATGTCTTGTAAAAACTAAAATCTATCATTAAAATATGAAAGATAATTCAGATGTATTTTTATTTATTTATTTATTTATTTATTTATGTAATGAATGGAGTGATGAAAATATTTTCATGTCAGTCATATGGAACATGAGATTTGTTCAAAATTGTTGAAGTCAATAACTTGAAAAAGAATTAACTTAAAAAGATCACATGTAGCCATAATACACTTGGGTCATACTAATTTAGTGTTTTATCACATAAAATGTCTAGTATATTTGAAAACGTCTTTATACATGTCTGTAAAACAGTGTGCTTCTGCAAAGGTTTTAATAAGTTTTTTTTTGTTTTTATAAAATAAGATATTTTTTCAAAATTGAAGTTTCATTGTTTTGTTACTTTCTTCAAGCACTTGATAATAGAAAAAGTTTAAAAAAGAAAGATCGTGAATCATTTAAATGTATTTTGAAACCATTTTAGATGGTAATTTGCAAAAAAAGGATTCTTCAATTTGAAAAAAGGAGTGTGAGAATCATGCACAACATTTTACTATGTAGTCTGTAATAAGTTGTATTCTCCTTTTTTAAAGACAAAAAGTATTACTTGAAATATTCAATATTTTAAATTAACGTCTCATTTTAAATGTTTACTAATTCATTAGTTCATTCTTTTCCAGCTCCAAGGCAACTCATTCTAAGTAATAACTTTTCCTTAATGTTATTCATTGAATTTTAAGGGGTATTTCTTTTGATACAAATTTCATCTGTACTTCTTCAATATTTGCATGATTTTGGAAAAATATATCATTTTTCCAGTAAAACGTTGACACTTAACAATCAAATCCTTTGACAATTACTAATTTAACCTAATTGGAAAAAAAATCATATGGGGCCTTAGATATTACAATTTTGTTTTATATATCCCACAATGAGTAAAGTTCAAACATTGAATGTCAGATACAAAGTGCTTTCATCTATGGTGCTCACAGTTTACATGCTTCAAAATCATAAATAATGCTACTTTGCCGTATTCAATAGTAGTAAAAATCAACAAATATTGAGTAGCTTTTAAAGTAAAACACTGATTTTGGTGTCTTCTACTGCTAATATGTGTGTGTAAATACATGTAGAAACAAATATATATATATTTTTATATAAGCATGAGCGTAAAAATGAATTTTGTTTTACAACCCAGTTTTCCTTAGAAGCTTCTAAAACGTGTAAGTCAATGTGCCATTATGACATTAGATCCTAGTGATCTGTGAACCACAACGCACATTCAAGTCCATATTAGACATTGTCCGTATTAAAGTGCAATTGGTCAGTGTGCAAAAGACATGAGACGTTTTTACAATTACCTCACATTCCTGTTTGTACAGCACAGCTAAGCTTCATGTCACCGTAATGGTTACAGAGCTGTAAAGCACAAACTGTAAGGGCCTCTCACACAAGCTAAACAAAATTACCCCTCAAACTGTGCAGGCACAATCAACCCAGTGGAAGTAAAAGTGTGTGTATCAGGACACTGAATGTTAGCAAATCTTACAGGCAACCTTTGATTGTGAAGGACTTACTTCTTGCCAGTGTTGATTGAGCATTTGCAGAGGTTTTCAAGGGCTGTCACAATCAGGCAAATGTGCAGGCATTTCGAAAGCAGGCTCTAAGTCGGTACAGCAGAAGTACAAAGAAACTTTTCAGGTGGCGAAAATTGTTACTGGAGGCAAAAAAAAAAAAAAAAAAAAAAAAAAAGAAAAAGAAACGAATAAAGAAGGGCTGTATTCTTGACCAGGTGTACTCATTTACCACAAATGCAACTCAAAATCTGCTCAGCATATTCTAAGCGTGTGAACAGACGACGAGACTGAGGGAGAAGATCCAGCACTCCATTTGTAAAGGTTTGGAAGGTGTCCAGGCCCTTAACAAGTTTTCTAATTGAATGTCAACCAAGAAAATCTGAAACTGAAGAACATTTCAAAAACACATTCATGCCGCCCAACTTCCATGTCACATGCTCGATCTTTACAAGGTGAATGGTTCCATGTACTAGTCATACTTAGTTTGATGCTGTCTATGTACCGGTACACGTGGCCGTGAGATATGTTTCGTGTACCCCAATCCTTGCCTGATAATTTAATACCAAGCTTTACTCGGCTTTCTTCTGGGCTTCCTGCAACAACTCGTTGGCCTTTGCTTGCGCCTCCTTGAGCAATGGCTTTGAAGCATCTACTGCCTTCGCTGCCATCGGCTTAGCCTGTTCCCATGCTTTCTCCACGTATGGCTTTGCCACAACTCCAGCCTCTTGGGCCTTCACCCATGCCTGCATGCAGAACTTCACTGTTAAATCTAGGATTTGTAACATGATTATGGAGTGGATACAGACAAAACTTGATGAACAGTCCCTTACTCATAAATAGATTCACAAGAGAATTAGTGAGGATGCATCTAGTAAGGGTTTCATGTTCAATAGTGTGAATGATAGTTATAATCAAAACCCAGGAAAAATCTTCGGGTTCTCGTGTACAGGGAGAAGAACACAGTAAGCCAATACATCAACCAAATTCTCTACTGTACCTTTTCTGCAAAAGGCTTCCCCTTGACGTAAATATCCTCTGCAATGGGAGTTACCTTGTCTACAGCCTCATCAATTTTCTGCACATTGCACAAGAGGAACATATGCGACGCGTCATGTAGGGACTAAAGAACATTGATCATATATAGAAACATGAATGAATACCACATGTGGTTATTTTTAATGTGTGCTCTGCTGGTCTTCAACTCTGGGTTGCCAAGAAGTGATAACAAAGGTGAACTCGTTTGAGTTTCAGAATCAAGTGCAATGAAGTGAATCATGTAATTTGAATGAGAAGCTTACATCTTGAATTTCCTTCAGTTGCTTTTCTGGCAAAACGAACAGAACAGCTCCAACTCCAAGCGTGGCCAAGAGTAAAAAGAACTGTGAGACAAACAGAGGTAGAAATCCATGTGTCTTCTTCTTGATAGTTATACTTGGCACACCGTCCTTTTGGCGATTAACCTGCTCCACAGCCAATTCATTCACTAAGCAAAGGTGACAAAAGAGTCTCCAGTATTTCATCACGAAAATCACGCTACAAAATCCCAACTCGCGGATATAATTACATATAGCCCGTATTTACGCAATTGACAATGAAATCTACGTGCATCTGAATAACTTTTCGACATGTGCGTAGGAACTCAAATAATGTTACTCGAATAATAGGAGAACAAGTTCTGTGTTGCAGACGCGAGAGAATCATAAACGTCGCATTCTTTAGCGCAACTCGCACAAACTCTACAAAGACTGGTATCATGAACAGCAAGCTGAAGGTTTGGAAATACAGAACCTCAAAACATTTAGAAGCTAGGTAATTAACTACTTTAATACCAGCACTCCCACAAATATAGTTAACTGACAGAGGGCCCAGAAATGGACACCTTTTCAACAGCGGCTCTCTCCCGCTCGGCTATCTGAGCAGCAGTAGTAGCCTCTCGTGCTCTGCGAGCCTCAGCTTGTTTCTCAGCTTCTTGTCTCTCAGCTCTGAGTGCCTCAGCCTCTCTTTCCTGTCGAGCCTTCTCTGCTGCCTCCTTCAGCACCTGCCAGGGAAACCATAATTGCAGGTAAAATCATCGAATAGTAATGCTTCCCAACACAGTCCACCTGAGATTTGGAATGTAAAAAAAAAACTAGTGATAAAACACACGGCAAAACCCAAGCTCTAATTGAGAAGTTCCGAGAAACATCAGTGCACTGCATGAACCAAATAAAAGGTTGCTACCTTTGATCCAGTATTATGAAAACTAGAGTGAGAGAGATGGGAACCATTGAGAGCTTACACTTGCAGCTGATGAAGTGGTTGTTTGCTCTGGCTGTACAGCTACAGCAGGGGCTGGAGCAACAGACGGAGCTGGAGCTGAAAAACCCTGTCTCCCTCTTTTCTCCTGAAAAGAGACAAGCTAGTAGTCAGCTTATTATAAGTCGCTATATTAAGAAAAAGAAACTAAATCTCCAATATGGTATCTAAAGAGTATCACAGCGAGAGAATTCATTTTTTCTTGTCCAATAAAAACAAGTATTAAGCTATCTTCATCTTGCAATTGGATGGCGACAAATTCTATAGCGAAGGCGGTGAACAAACCTTGATTCTCTGAAGAAGCTCCTTGTACTCTTCTGCACTAGTCGTGTCCGCAATTGCAGCAGGTGGTTTAATTACGACTTCCAGGAGTGGGGCGCTTCCTGATCAAAATCAACATAATCGCTCAGATCTTCCAGAACGTAGAGAAAACGCTACAGTCACTTAATATACGATATAATCTCACTTTTCCAACCGTAAGCAAAGGAAGATAATGTTTCACAGCAATATCACCGCTAACTCAAACCCTAGTCTTATGAGCGATATCTGATGTTCAATAAGATGAATTTTTTGTAAATCATACAGAGCAAAGCAAATCCCAGTCAAGAAATAACGATAAGTTGCAATAACAAAAGGAAAGCTCTAACAAATGGTTGGAAAGGTTGCAATGGCCCGAACAAAAAGGGCATAATAGCTAAATTCAGGGAGCTAGGAATGTGCTAATTAAAATTTCTTGAACACGCTTGTGAACCTACGGACAAGGGTACCATCACACAAATCATAAACCTTAAAGCGAAGGCACTAGCAACCTGCTTCAAATAACAAACACGAGAAAAGGCCTTGGCCTTATCACGACACTTTCTGGTTTACTGCTTCAGCGCACTCTGGCATTGCAAAGGTTATCCTTAGTATCAAAGCCTGACCAGAGCATGAATCCCCACATATTCTCCCCAACACACACAAACACACACAATAAATAACTGAAAAGTAATATCACCAGAAATATGAACTGCGCGTGGACGAGAAGAAAGATAAGAGTCCACTACACACTCTATCCGCATCGCGAAGGCCCTCGGAAGCGCCACAATTTGGTCCTCGACTGGACGAATAAAACTAGCGGACAGCGGACACAAACTGCCCGCTCCGGATTGTAATATTAAACATCACAATCCGGGACCCAAAAACCAAGACCTCGAAACCCACCAGAAGGTCAGAGAATTCTCTCACAATTCGACGCCTCCACTCCAATCCACACCCAATTTCTCAACAATGAGATGAACGAGGCACTAACCGACAAGGGCGGCAGCGAGGAGTGGCACGAGGAAGCCCCCGACGAGGTTGCCCGTCCCCTCAGCGTCACCGGAGGCGCTACGCGCAGCGCATAGTGGGAGGTTCCGGGGCTCCGCAGCGCTGCAAGAGACACGAGAAGTGGAGACGAGGGTCGTCTTGGTGCGCAGAAATGGCTGCTGCTGCTGGCCAGAAATCTGCAGCGGTGTCCAGTTCAATGCCATGCTCAAGCTCGCCATCGCCATGGATGCTATGGCTGCTGCTCGCACAATTAACTTGCTGGTATCGCAGCAAAGTGTTCGAATGTCTCCGAATGCAATCAATCCAACATTGGCTGCGAGTGAGTTCGGGGGGAGAGCTGATTGATACGCTGACTGGCAGTGGTGCCTCCACACGACGCCTGCCTGCCAGCCTACAAAACTGGATTGGGCTGCTGCTGCTGCTGCCGCAGTCCCGCCATCGCGCGTCTGCGGGTGGCTATGAGCGGTGACGTTGTCAGTTGTGGTTCGTCGTTGTCAATTGTCGTTCGCCAGCGTCAGTTGTCGTTCGTCAGCGTCGTCGCTTTAAACTTGCGTTTGCGGGTATGAACGATGACGATGTTGTGATCTCGTTCACGTCATGGGAAACTACTTTCCTCTGCCAAACTGAGTAAAGCTTCACCAAGCTGGAAGCACGGGTATAGGGATTTTTAATTGTAAAAATAATATTACATAACACCAAATACATATGAGAATATATATTTATATATATATATATATATATATATAGGAGAATGTTAAATAGATCCAAGTTTTTACTAAATCAATCCATCCATCCTATCCATCATGAGAAGAGAAAAAACAAAATGACATTTAAATTCATTTTTCCACTATTGGATTTGCAACCAATAAAAACCAACCACTTTCATCATGACTATCATATTCTTCATTAAAGGTGGGTCTATTTTGTAAAAGCATAGGTCTATTTAACATTCATATACATATATATATATATATATAGAAAGAGAGAGAGTGTGTGAAAAAGAAATAAAGAAAAGATTACTAAACCATCATATTTTCAGATGTTGAGAAAAAAAAAGTCTTTTGTGTATTTTAAAAAAATTGTTTAGAAGAAATAAATGTGTAAAATAATTTTATTTATTTAATTATTTTAATCATTAAAATTATGAATGGTTGGCAAACTTTTTATATTCTTGTTTGTTATCTATCTATCTTTCTATATATATGGAGACTTTTGTCTTAGTCAAATACATTTTTTGCCATGTCTAATGCTTTTTTAAATTTAATCTAATTTAGATGATTTTAAGAACTTAATGTAAAAATTTAGTTTTTCTATAAATTTTCAAAAAAATTATATTCTAACAACATAAATATTTGTACTTTTAAAAAAATCTACTAAGAAATAGATCTTAATTGGTGTAGTTTACATAATTTGTGATAAAATACCTTTCATACATAATTTTTATTTAAAAAAAATAACAAGCATATTAATCTTTATTCATTATATTAATAAATAAGTATTGATAATTCTTTGTGCAATTACATGACTCAAAAGAAAATTAAACATATCTTTCTATTATTTTTTTAAAACAACAAATATATTTTTGATTAAATACAATGTTTATATAATCAAATTGTAATTGAAGTTATTTCTAGCTAATAAATTTTAGTCATACAATTTTTTTAAATATAAGTTTCTTCATAATTTATAATCTAATTCATCATAATAAAATAAAAATAAATTATTAAAATAATATTTTCACTTTGTAGAATGAAGTCTAGCAATCATCAAAATAAATATTTTTAAATGGATAAAGTTCTACTATATATATGTATATATATAAGGTGTTGTTAATGCCACCATATTTTTTATATTACCCTACAACTTTTTCTTATTAATTTTAAAAAATTTCAATTAAATTTAATTTCTACATTATTTCTAAATTAAAAAATACTATAGAAATATAAATAAAATGTTTGATTGAAATCTTAAAAAACCAAAAAAGAATTTCAAGTTGGTGACAAGTGGCAATAGCAAAAATTGTGGTGACATTAAAAATACCCTCTATCTATCTATCTATAGCAAAAATTGTGGTGACATTAAAAACACTAGCCCATCAACCATCAAGTATTGATTCATTAATAAATGAATGTACGAATATTTGCTGTGTTGATTTGTATTATACAATCTAATCACACCATTTTATGTCAGATTTATTATACACAAGCCACATCAAATTGTACCAATGGATAAGTGCGGACTTTATCTGTACCCGCTTTAGATTATAATCACATAAATCTGGGCTATTACTTTTTACTAAGCATGAATTAATAGAATGAACAAACACACGAACCAATAACCGAACGAACGAACAAACGAGCAAACAAACGAACGAACAAACGAACTATCGAACGAGAGAACGAACAAACGAACGAGAGACCGAATAGAGGAGGTGTTCGCAAGGATTTGAAGGGATGCACAAGCGCTCATGCATCGGAGGCATTCGACTGTGTTTTCTGGATGCAGTTCGATGTCAAAGCCTAATAGCTGCGGCACATTGGCACACCTCTCAATCCTGCGTTCCAGTACGAGCCCACAATAACCTCTTATGCTGGGCATCTGCAGAGTTTCTTTTTTCTCGCAATTTTACAAGTCGGTGTGGAAAATGAAGAGGTAGAGGACCCAGTTGGGTGTGTGAGCTACACTCCTGGACAACAGATGCACTCAACCTCCAAGTCGATTGTCCATCTCTCGTCCCGCGCGGATCCAGTTCGCCGTAGACTATCTTACAAGACGCTACAGGACGTGAGGTGCAACTGCAATAGGCAGCGCCATGACTGACATCCGCATCGGCGACGTGTAGCTCGGGGATTCAAGTGTGGCATTCGCGTATCATTCGTCTAGCGTTTGTATTGTCCAGCCAATTACCCCCTTGATAGAGACCTGAGCATGAGGGGACGGGTCTATAAGTGTGCAAGTGTGCGAAGGAGATAGTTTGGGAATGGGATGCAGAAAACAGCGGTGGCGGACGCTGGCATGCAGTGGTTGATGGGCTAGTGTTTTTAGCTAAACGCAATACAATATCGTTATCTCACAGAGCTTGGTTGGCATGCAAGCGTGAGAATTTCTTTTCGGGTTGTATCAACGATGAACGTCGAATCAACATCGATGGCTGTGAGAGTAGTCGACTGCCAAGTGGCATGGCAGTTCGTCAGTGTCCCAACAATAAAGCGTTCCATCCAGACGACGTCGTGCGTGAGATCTAACGGAATATTCTTAATCAGCAACTATGGAGACACCATCTGCCCAGCGTCATCAGTGCGCTGTTACGATCACCGTTTTGACGATGCAGCTTTGCTCAGCTTTGATGGACCTGTGTCCTGCGTGTGAAATAACTTGTACAAATGCTTGAGTAGTGCAACTAAACCGTTTTCCATCCATTTACTTGTAAAACTCTTACGCAAATAAGTACTGCAGCTCTTTCTACAGCATCGGAGGCGAAATGGCAACGAGTTGCAAATTTTGTTTTTGCATCCTTCTTCGTTATGATTCCGAGGAGGGTCGGCTGAAAATCGTACTACAAGACCCTGATACAGTTTGCTATGTGGATGGTTAACCCATGTAGGCTCTGGATAAGAATTCCAGGATTGAGACCCAACGGCGTGGCTCATTTTCATATTTTACGGTGCAGATGATTTAAGCTTCTCAAGCGGCAAGGACAAGATCTCAGTGGTATTATCTATGATAGTCAAAAGCGAGTTTGTCAACTTTTTGGACCCCGATTATCAATCTTCTTGCAAAGAAAATGTGGAAGTCCATAAAACTATGAACAGATGTCCAAAAAGCACATTTGAAATTTAATGTACCGAATCGTTGAGATCAAACGTCCTTAATCGCTCAGATGCAAAAGATTTACAGCAGCCACGTGGGAGTCCGAATGGACCCTATCCTGAAAAGGTGCAGTATCTAGTTGACAAGTGTAGGGGTGCAAACCAGGAGCCAGTTGTTGAAATACTCCTGGCCTCGCTCGTTACGATCATCACTGTGCAGTATACTCATCTACTTGCTTCGAAATCACCAGCTAAGTTACTGTATTGTGCTTGATAGCGTTTCTGGAACTCTTAGATTTTTCAGCGAGTTTTTTGTTGGTACCAAGTAGACGAAATGGCTGCGACCATGGCGACCATGGCGACCATGAATGTTGTTGCTTCCAGCGCTGTTGCTGCGACAGCCTCGGCCCCAGTGGCCGCATCTGCCTCGAAAAATGTGTCGGTGGGCTCATTCCGGGGTAGCTGCCTGGTTGTTAGACGAGTAGTGGGTGCGCCCATGAGGAGGGTCGTGCAAGTCCGTGCCGAGGACGTGAGTATTTCCACTATGGTCGAATCCCTCTTGCAAGTGTAGGTGTGATGTGTGAATTGTGCATGATGATGGACTGTGTAGACCTTGACACCCAGCCACAGATATGGCTCACATTATGCTTTGGTGGTATTGCAGAAGGGAGTGGGGAAGACCTTGCAGGACATGGGAGAGGATTTGTCTGCTAATGTGAAGAAGACCGCCGAAAACGTTAGAGACAATCTGCAAGGAGCTCAGTCTGACGCCATAAGCAACGCCCAGAACGCCGGAAGCACTGCTCAGAGCAAGGCGAAGCAGGGGGCCAACGAGGCCGACAACTTGGCCACCAAGATTTCAAACCAGGCCGAGGATTTGAAGGATCAGTTGTTCAGTGCCGGCAAAGACGCCCAGAAGGATGCCGAGAAGAATGTGAACAAGGCTAAGAACGCTGCTAACTCCACAGGCGCGGATGTGCAGAACAAAGCAGGAAACATCCTCGACAATGTGCAGCAAGGAGTTAGCGACGCTACCGAGAGCATCAAGGACTCCTTCAGTGGCAACAAGAACTAAGTTAGCATTGCACCGAGATCTGTCTACGAGCCATCAACAACGAGTGTATTGTACATGGGCTGAAGCTTGTAAAGTAGTAGCAAACTGTGGACATCGTCTATGCTGTAAATTTTGCTAAATTCTGTGGAGAAACTAAATAAAGTTTTGGATTTCTCATTTTCGTGCCACCCCAAATCTTGAAAACTTTTGTTCGTGTGCATTAGATTCTGCAGCATTCAGCAATTTATTACTCTGTTCTCATATTTTTCTCTTTCCACTCTTACTCTGCTAATTCTGATAAGACAACTACTTCAGGTCTTGCATTCAAATCCTCTCATAAGTTAAATTCCTGTACCTCCAACACCATTTTATTAGATTATCAGATTCTAATCCATGGTAGTCGTCACCAGAGCGTACATGTAGCTCAAGCTGTTGCATGCACGTCAAACTATGCTTTCTGATTATACCTTTTTTATGTACATGAATTTCTATCACGAAATGCGTTTAGCACCAATCATAACATACTCGAAGGTAATATGAACAAACATACAACCACACTGATTTTCACCGTCAAATCATCAACACTGGATGCTTAAGAAGAATAGAATGACATACAGCAATCATAAGATCAAAACAACAATTTTTCTTGCAGATTTTGACAAAATCTGTGGCAATTTGTCGTGAACATCTCAACTTTTCTTTTTTCATGAACTGGAGATCCACACCCTAACATGTTCGAAAATAGAGATCACCTGAAAATATGTCGGCATAGAGTTCAACACCTTGGTGACCTTGTTGAGAAGCATAGCACATCGTGCATGGAACGGACGCAATAAACAGTAATCTGCAGTCACTTACGATATGTTTTGTCACGACATAGAAAATTTCGTTATCTTATCTTGCAGGAGTGTAAATAATCGTGATCACCTTTATGTCTTCCGGTTTACCGTTTCCAAACATCCGCCGCATCCCCACAAAATTGGAGGATAATTACACCATAAAATGTTATAAATTATAAGAATTTTTTGTATATTACAAAACAAATCATTTCAGTTATTTGTTTCTTTCTGATGTTAACCATCATTAAAAAGGAAAATTAGAATACCTACCACAAAATAAATCAAAGAGTCTGAATAAACATAACATGATCTTTGCAACGCAATATCACTCAGTTGAACTCAATTAAGAACTACAAATTAATATTGCTTGCACTTAGCTTCTTTCTCTCGAGGGCAAGCTGCGCTTGATGGACTAATGAATACTATGCAGAGGATTTGTCTATTTCTAAGATACAACTCAGTAGACGTGGCAATACCGAAGGGAGTCCTTGGAATACCTTCGCATCGTCTAGCTTTCAGCTTGTTCTAACAGGAGGATACAACAGGAGGTTGTCTACCATGCTAAACGAAACAGTACACCTGAACCCAGCGAATGTCTCAAAGATAAAAGACAAAAAAGGAAAAAATCGTAATTAAGAAAAAAATCCCACTTTGAACAGCTACGATTTAGCTGAAAAGTCCTAAAATGAGTAACTGAGCAAGAAAACTACATTTTCCATGCACCAAATCAGTGGAGACGCTGTCCAGTCGGTACACAAAGATGGCAGTGTAAGGAAATGATACAATGGAGAAGAAGGTCCCAATCGGTTAGCCAGAGCGGCGAAAAAGGTCAGCGGTAGCAGCATCAGCAGCAGCAGCGGCACCTGTGATGAGAGCGTCAGCGCCGCTAAAAGGATCTCGGGATGCTCTACAGGGCAGCTCATTACGGGTGGTAACCTCAGTAAAGCTAGCCTTGGAATAGTCGCTAAGAGGAGGCAGATCACTAGGCTCCTCCTCATCCATAACCTTTTGGACTGGAGTGCCGGTTGGGTACAGCTCTAAAATCTGCTCAATTTCTTCCCCAAAAATCTCTTCCCTTTCCATCACCACGAACACCATTTTGGTGAGGGCCGCGTGATGCTGCTTCAGCAATTTCAGTGTTTTCATGTACATAGACTCTAGAAGGTTCTGCGTGCTCTCCATCGTTATGTCGACAAGGTCGTAATTCAGAGGTTTCTGAACGAAGCCATAATCATCGTAGAGTCCACCTTCAAAGCCTAATGGAGGGCCAGTCATGGATCCACCTCCGTCCCAGGGACATGGATCACCAGTCAATGAAATCCCTTCCTCTAAATTCCACGTTGAAACGATCTTGCGGGCAAGCCATGTCGCATCAGGTAGATGGGTTAGAGAGTAACTTGAGGTGTCGCGCCCGTACATAACCTCTTCACCCGCTCTGCCGCCAAGGAGAACCTGTAAGCGGTGAAGAAGAGCCGGTTTTCGCTGAAACAAGTAGTACTCGTCTTCAAGCCGGTTCATTATGCACCTAGCAAGGGTATCTCCACGAGGGACAATGGAGACACGATCGCAAAACTCCGTGTCAGATTGCTCAAAGTGGCGGAGAAGGTGGGATGTGAGAGCAATGCCGAGCTCATGAGCAGCCATGCGGCGGTGCACTGGGAGGCGGCGCCGCATTCCAATTCTCTCGGGGCCCATGGTGAGACGATCAAGTGCTCGGTCCATGTCAATGCGTTCAACGATAGTGCCGCCGTGACGAACTGCAACCAAAGCTGCCTCCTGGAGTAATTGAGCGAGCTCGGCTCCAGACCATCCAGGGAGATTCTTTGCATAAGATTCTAGGTTCACAGACTCATCCAGCTTCACGCTCTTGGCATGCACTTTGAGGATCTCGTACCGCCCTTTCGCACGTGGAGGTCTGATGGCCACCTTGCGATCAAACCGACCAGGTCGTAGAAGAGCGGGATCTAACATATCCATCCTGTTCGTAGCACCTAAGAACACAACACCCTTGCCCGTATCGAAACCATCAAGCTCAATGAGCAGCTGATTCAACGTCGTCTCACGTTCCTGTGCACCTGCATTATAAGTGTCCATTCCTTCCTCTCCAGCAGCTCCATGCCGCATTGCTCCTAGCGCGTCGATCTCATCAATAAAGACGACAGATGGCCTGTTCACCTTCGCACGCTTGAAGAGATCACGGATCCGGGCAGCGCCAACACCGACCAAAACCTCAACAAATTCAGAGCCAGCCATCTGGTAAAATGGCACGCCTGCTTCGCCTGCGATAGCTTTCGCAAGGAGAGTTTTACCGCAACCAGGAGGTCCCTCCAGAAGAACCCCGTGTGGGGGTTTAGTGCCCATCTGGTTGAACCGCTCAGGGTCCTTTAGGTAGCTTACTAGCTCCTGAAGCTCGGTAACGACGTCATCTATTCCTGCAACATCTGCGAACCCAACTCCCGTGGTTCCCTCCACCCGAGCTTGCGGCTTAGACTGGCCGAACTCAATAGCTTGCCATAAATCCCATTTTGTAAAATCTTTCGGTCGTCTCGTGAGGGTGAACTTCGCAAGTGCTGCCATGGCAACGAGAACAAATATAATTGCACCCAGAGTGCGGAGAGACTGATACATTGTGCCAGAGAAAATCATCCCTCGAATGCCGGGAAAGAAACGGATTCCCTTACCACCTACGAGGGCATCCGAAATCATAAATCCGATGCTCCTACCCGTGGCAGCTGCCAGACCAAGAAATGGTCGCACAAGCGGTGAGCTCAATGGCCACACCACCCGTAATATCAAAAAGGAAACAATTCCTGTCGAGGTGAACAGAACGGCTGAAGCCATGCCTCCAACGGACAAGGCCGCCGCGCCAACCAGACTGGCGACCACCGTGACTTCCATCATAACCCGCCCAGATATGGCAGCGGCAATTGGGTGTGGTGCTGCTTGAGGCAACGACACAAATGGCGAATAATAACTTTCCACCTCAACTTGATCGCCTTTGCATTCTTTAAGCGCGACATCAGCCTCTTCTTTGGACAGATGCATCGCCCGTTCCCGAGCCTGCCAAGTTTGATCACCTGGAACTGCCTTGAGCTCCACGAGGAAATCATAGTAGGCATGCCTGTACTCCGGAGTCGTTACACCCCTGGATGCCAACATGCTAACCTCGCCTGCCCTGGCTGCTTTCAAAAACTCCTCAAAGCTTATCTCGGGGAGTGTTTCTAGCTGCCGGCTGTATTCTTCAACCTCATCCGTCTGTCCCTCGAAAACTTCTTCCGGCACATAAAGATTGCCCTTGAAGCCACGAAGAAGGTCATTTAGATAAACACTACTGGGAGGTTGAACTTCACTCTTAGCTATGTCAGGAATTACATCGGATGGAGGTAGAACCACCGCTGACTCAACCACATCATTCTCCTCTGATTGCCGACTTTCCAACAGCGGCTGAACCACATTACCCCACAAAGCATCTGTAGTAGATATCCAAATTGGCGCTTCCGCCTTCCGCAATTCTTTCAATGTATACAACCTATCCCCGACTAAATATTTAGATTCCACTTGACTGGGAGTTTCAGTCAGCAGTTTGGTGATGTAATCCTCTTCCTCATTCCCGCCCCCAGCTGCCGCAAAGACACAACCTAAAAGTTCTCTTCGTCTGGAACGAGTGCGAACAACTCTAGGACGCAATTGCAGCTGCTTAACAGAACCCAGCCCTAGAATGCCTTCACAAACTCCATGCGAAATTTGAGGTGTGAAAGCTGTCATTGGACGCCCGTGCGAACAGCTTGGCACCACCATCTTGGCAGCCACAGGAACCATTGGCATTCGCTGAACATGTACAATTACTGTCTGTAAAATGATATGCCAGGGACCTCCGCAGATAAGCTCACCAAGTTACGGCTGAACTCGTTGAGAACACCTTGCACCAGCAGCTCAGACGCCCCTGGCGCTAGCAGTTGCGCCCAAATCTTGTGAGGTACCCACAACGACACATGTGCTCCGACGTTCAATCCACAACCCCGCCCAAGTTCGCCTGGTATCTCAATCCCATCTCCAGCAGCCTTTATATCGAATAAATCCTCCCCACCGGCAATTCATCCCCAACATTAGAGCGCCTTCAGCACAAGACTAAGTTCGCATACCAACCCTCAAACCTCCACTCCTGCAAAAACGGTCCACAACCTAAAACCCCACTCGAGAACCATTCCCTTTAAACCTCACCACAAAACCAATAACCCACAATCTCCAAAATAGGGTTAAAAAAAGTTTACCATTCCCACACCTGGCTCTTCATTCCACACGAAAGGGCAATCACTGAAACTAACCATCGTTTGTAACCATCAGATTCAGCTGATGGCAATTGTTGCCATCTCCGATCCCCCATACACACCCACTCGAAGAGACGATAATACTTTGTCTTCAGAAGCTCAAACACCGAGCCAAAACCGGCATTACCAATTACAGGAATGAGCGCACACAAGCGAACAGGTGGGAGAATAGTGGTGAGAAAGAGGTCCTCAACTCCTCGCAGCAACACTTGCAAAGCCCCAATCTAGACCCAAATCCAAATCCTTCCGCAGCAGCAAACACATCCGAAGGAGCAACGAGAGGCTGCTTCGTGCGGAGCTCATCGGTTCCCACCGAGAGAACCACGTTCATGTGCGGGAACTTCGTCTCTCCTGATTCCTGCTTCAGTTGGAAAGCACGCGATGGATGTTGTCAAAATAGGTCAGTCCAAAAATGGAACGGCGGTATCGGGCGAGGGGTTAAGTCGTGTCAGAGACATTTACATGACCCATTTTTCTGATTTCTTTTCAGGTTTGAGCGCTAGAAGTTGGATCCGATTCCCCTCAAGCCCCCAGACCCTCGCTTAAGTCCGTGAATATTTTGACGTTTATTGACTGGTATCTTTGCGGTGATTGGGAGGGAATTTTGTTTTTTCGATCACGTTTATTTTATTTGGGTCGGTTCGGGAGTGAGGGATGAGATGGTCGCTATACCATCCTGAGTTAGTGCCGTTATTCTTGTCCTCCGTATGAACCCTCCATGAAGCTTTTGGTTTGAGGCAATTCGCTACGTCGAGGATATGAGCGTTAAATTTGCACTATGATGGATTAGAGTTACGATTCCTTGCTGTGTCCTGAGGTGCGCAAGTGGTTGAGTTTCGGAGTAAGGAGTTTCCTGGCGATTAGGGGTGCTGTTTGCGTTTGTGGGGTGATCACTGCGACTCAACGGCGGGTTGGCCAATTTTACATCGAGAGGTGAAATTCTTATGAGTTCATATTTTTATTCACTACGTGTAGCGAGTGCCGGATTTTGATCCTAAACCAGATTAATAGGTCTTCTACAAAGCGTTGCCACACTGTCTGTGAGATGTTTTTGTAATATTCTTCTGGCATAAAGTTATCATGGCTTGAACTTCAAGCTCTCAATTTACTCAATGGAATGAGCATGCTCCGTCAGATATTTAATCAGAGATTCCTGGATGATTTCGAATTTTCCCGTTATCATTATCAATGTATCTTCAATTGTTGTAGCGATTCTTGCTATTTCGCATTCATTGTGCATTGACCTTTCTATGTGCTTCTGGACAGCGGAATTTGCGCTTGAGATGATGATAGATTGTCTGTAACAGGTTCTCTCACAATATTTTGCAGTTTAAGATGTATCCCATCTGAAAGGATATATGGTTTCACAAGCCTGATCCATTGTATGTTCTCTCTGATTCTCGTCAAACCCAGTTCCTTATTCAATCTCTCCGTCACCTTGGCAGTCGTATTTAATGCAGACACTGCGCATTGGATGATCGACGTTTAAAAATTTCTTGCCCAGTCAATAACAACTTCCTCCATAAGCGAATTTATGCACGAGGTAGTGCACACAATCATGCAGAGCATGGTGGGCATTCAGTTTTCCCGACCTTCAAGTCCTTCAAGATGCATCTCAATCGGGTCGTGCCCGAGCTTCCAACCCCCTCGCAGAATCCCCTACTACCTTGGAACTCCGACCTTCCAATCCGCCAGGAAGTTTGCAAAATTTATCCCTCTGACTCCCAAGGCCATGCACTCAGAGCATTCTGCAGGAGAAGAGATGGTCAATCTGCAGGTACGAATTGAGTTTGATAATTCTGATTCGTAACGGCAGTTGAGTATACAATTCTGGAGGGGTAGTGCAACCATTCGACGCCATCGTCCAATCTGTATCGCTTGCTGGACGCTCTCTCGTGCAACATTTTTTTGTTGCTATTTACATCTATTAAATATAGGCGTATTGGTGTGATTGGGATACAACCCCTGTCTAGCAGATGAAGTGCAGCTTAGTGTGAAGTTGCTTGCAAATTGTTCCTGATTTGCTTGGCTTTGCATGTATCGCTCTGATTTTCCTTCATTATGATTGAGGAATATTGACTTGTATACAAAAAGAGCTTGGGTGTAATTACTTGACTGTTTGCAGCCGGGAGATGATTCAACTTCGAAAGATCTAGATTCAGCTTCGACAGGTCTAAATTCAGAAACCAAGAGTGTGTATTTATTCCTCTTTAGCTTTGTATCCTGGGTAGATGCTTCGCCATATAGATTTCTCACGTTTACTAGTTTTATTTCTAGTCCTCCGTAAATCATTTGCTACAATCGCACTTCCATTTTCCGACTCAATGTTTTGTTTGTCAGTTCAAGTTCATCACACGTTGGCAGTATTTACGTTCAGAATCTCGATTCTTCATTCTGTCGAAAGTCTCATCAGTTCACATAAGGATCAATGTCCCAGCATGCTGTGTGTTGATGGCTCCATAAGATTCAAACAGTTGTCTTTTTTAGCATTTTTTAAGCACCGTATTCTTTGTTCTGAATGGCAAGCTCTCGCCTGTTATCATGGTTAAGCAGGACGAAAAGCAGAAGATGAGGAAGAAAGTGTATTGACGAGCATCGTTAATCTAGCTGTACCTGCTCTTGGTGCTGTGTAGGCTTCATTTTCACTTGCGGTTCATGCTACTCGAATATTACATAAAGCCATTCTGGAAGACATGTGATCCAGCGCTTAGATACATATTTCTGCAGTAATTTGACGCTCTCACTCTGCACTGAGCATACATCACAAGGAATATTAAGTCAAATTCAGCTATTATGATTTAGTGGTTTGTTTGGTATTTTTTGGCAGATTGTCAGACCCCATTATGAGCCTGATTGATACTGGTTGCGTGGGCCAAGTTAGCTCGGTTCATCTTGCTGCACTCGGTCCAAACACATCCATCTTCAACTTCATATTCCAGGTATGAAATAGCTTGTATTATCCCCCATTTGCAACTCAAGCTACCAGCCTGTGATAATTTGAACTCTTACAATTTTTGTTTTACCTCTGGTTTCTGGAGAGTGTATTGGAAGATATGCAGTAATCCATCTTAAGTGTAGATTTCCAAAGTAAGTAACATTATCAACTTATATTTTATTGGCTTGGCAGCTCTTTACGTTCCTAGGATCTGCTACATGTAACTTGCTGGCTGGCATCAATTTGCGTGCTTCTTCTGTTGAAGAACAGAGAACGCAACAACATCAGGTATTCTGAAGCTGCCTTAAGTGTTAAGGGAGTTTTTGGTCTTTAGCGAACAAGGAGCTATTCACAATCATGAAATAATGATATATTAAAGCTTGAATTCAAGTATTTGGTTTACCACGCTGCAAAATAGAGCAGGAGAGAAGCTAATTTGTAACACTCTAGAATGTGGTATTGGGTGAAGTGAATTCTAGTTTTCTCGTCTTTTGTCACTGATGTTCTCGTCACTTTTTGGAATATGCATGCTTGTGGGAGTTTATACACTTTAAAGATCAGATTTTGTTTACAATTTTAATTGTGCAAATTGGTTCACAGGCATCTCAGCTTCTCAACCACGCCCTTTTCTTAGCCGTAACTTTTGGAGTTGGGGTATTTTTTTTGATGGAGGCATTTGCTCCCAAACTATTAGCACTCATGGGCACAGGCCCAGAGTATCTCAAACCTGCGCTTGTTTACCTTCGAGTTCGGGCACTCTCTGGTACAATATCAGTCCAATGGATTTTAATGATGATATATTAAGACTTGGATATATTATCAGTCCAATATTCACGAAGCTGAAATTTAGCTGATCCTTAAGTCCATTTTTGGGATACCTCGGAAGCTCTGAGGGATCTGTGATCTTAAACAATTGCGCTTTTTGGTGGTTTTGATGCATCTGGCGGTTCTGTGATTGTACTTTTTCTTTAAACTTGCTCAGGTCATGAGCTGCTCTGATCTTCTCGCCACTATTTTGATTTAACTTTTTTTTTATTTTTTTTATTTTTTATTATTATTATATTTTGGCTCCGATTCATCTCAGGTGCTTATGGCATGTATTTTGATTTGCAGCTCCAGCTGTTCTGATTTTGATAGTGGGACAAGGTGCTTGTTTGGGGCGTCAAGATGCAACAACTCCTCTGCGAATCAACTCTATGGCAGCTTTCTTAAACCTCATTGGGGACGCCATTTTCACACTTTATCTCGGCTGGTAAGGTTGCGATATTGCACATGATACTTCAGCGCTAAGAATTTTTTACTTCCTCTAATGTAGGAGAAATTATCAGATGATCGTCATATCCTCTATTTTCTGATTATTTTACAATAATATCCTTTGCATTAGCTTGTTTGGTCGATCTAATCTAAAGCTTAAAAGAGGACATGATTACTGAAGTAATTTGATCCTCGGGGTTTAGGGTGCACAAACCAATCTTGATGACAAACTGTCTTAGTGAGGTGTGCACGATGCACACATGTTGGTTATCTGTCACTGATTCTGCGCTGTCAGAGGATACATGGGCAAGATGTATCTAGTTCTCAAGACATCAGGATGATTTAAGTAAGGAATTTAACTTCTAAGATTCGCACGGTGGTTTGTAATTTCTGATGCGTGGTCTTAAAGTGTTCTAACGATTAAGGCATATGTAGGGGAGTTGGAGGAGCTGCCTGGGCAACCCTCCTTTCTCAGTGTGTAGCGGTTATACTATTGGTAAGGAATTTGACGGGAAAGTCTACGCAGCGAATTGAAGGGGAGCAAGATTTTTCACAGGCATTTCCTCTCAAACTGGGATGGTATGGGCTGCCAACATCAGAAAATCTTGGGCCATTTTTGGCTCTAGCAGGCCCCTTAATACTAAGGTCTGTTCTTGGCATGGTATGTATCTGTACTGAGCTTTTAATCCTTCTGTATCTCCGCCATGCATGTTTGGTATCAGGAAGCAGAGACTAAGGTTCTATCCTTGTAGATGTCTTGCCTAAGTACCCTCTGTTAATTAGAGTAAAAGTTTTCTAACTAATCTGGGAATTGCAGACAGTCTATACACTAACAACAAAGGGAGCTGCTCAATTTGGAACTCTGAGCGTAGCGGCACATCAAGTGGCTTTGCAGGTAATGTCCTTTCTTTAGAATTCCATCTGTGTGCTGTGGTGGATTTATCTCTCATTTGTAACTTAGATGCGTTGAGCTGTTTGGTGGATATTAAAATAGATTTATGTCTTGGTGTTAATTCACCTATGCCTAACTTTCTCTCAAAACTTAGGTATCCTTTTGAGTGAACATGGATTGTGAGACGCTCTTTGAAAAGCAATGATGATAAGAACATGTTCTGGTGGCAGGTATTCTGGACATTAAGTTACTTTCCGGAGTCGTTATCCATTGCGGCACAATCATTGGTTGCACGGAATGTGAAAACTAATCCACAGGTAAATGAATGGTAAGCCTATGTGTTGGAAAGTTATTTTTAATGAATGACTGCATGTGTTTAACGTTTTACTTTGCTTCTGCAGAGAGCACAAAAAGTGGCACGGATGCTGTTGGGATTTGGTGGAGTGTTGGGTGTTGCTTTAATGGGGGTTGTAGCCTCCGTGCACTACCTTGGGTCGTCATGGCTTACAGCAGATCCCAATGTGCAACATTTGGTGCAGTCCGTGACCCTGCAAAACATGCTGTGCGAATTACTCTGCTCGCTTGCACTTGTGGTGGAAGGGACTGCTATTGCGGCTGGTGAAAACTACTATTTAACTGTTATCAAGCTCATGCATGTCGCTTAAGTCACCCGTATCAAAGATATGTCGTAATCTAGCGCTCAAAGTACTAGATTGACCCTGAAGATCAAAGTTGGCTGGTTTGGCTACTTTTTTAGTGATATATTCGATAATTGGGTCTTAAAGATTAATGTGTGCAAAAACCATGTTGTCGTGGTGGGATGAATCTATATGCATCTACAGTGGTCAGTTTGGATGTTTTAGAAAAGGGTGTGTAGTCATGTTGGCGGAGATAAGTCAGAATTCAGCATGCTGAACAGACAATTTATTGATGTGCGCAGGTGATTTTGCATATTTGCCGAAAATGCAGTTTCTGAACCTGGGTGGTGTTCTCTTATGTCTCTGGATAACATTTCAGAACAATTTGGGATTAGGAGGCATCTGGTGGTGCCTTGTATTTTACTTCGGGTTTCGTGTCTTCTTCCATTCCTGTTACATTGCCAACCACTGGAGGACGCATGTGAGTTATCTTTTGTCCCGAAATCCCGGTTGCTTGGTCATCTGATTGATGAGGTGTTTAATAAGGAAACGATCTTACTGTTACATAATTATTCCTATGTTTTGTAATTCCAATATTCGAGTGACGAAAGTTTATAATACAATTCGCTTTATTGCATCACACAAGAGTTTTTCGAGTGCTGAATTTGGTGACTGATTTTTATATTGCTGATCAGGTACTGGGAGGTGGATTTCCATCTTCAATTCCTGAAGAGGAGGCTCGAGCATTTCTTGCAACATGATTACTTAGGTCGGGTGTTTGTCAAATATTTCTTTTTTTCCATCCCATTGTCTAATTTTGTCTTCCTTAGCTTTAGATGAACCTTTGAACTTGTTTTTAGACGTGGTCTCAATTTGAAAGCCGCTCCTAAATCAGGTCACTTTCGGACCAAGCAACCAGTCGAAATTATAAGCTCACGCGTTGGTTTCAACTCTAATGTTGAACTCCTCTATCGGTTGAAATCTTGCTCTGTTGCTTGGTCTGAAACGAACTTTATCCTCGGTGAAGATACAGCAGCTGGTAATGAGAATCAGAACCACTTGCTAGTGTTAATTCTGAAGCGCAACTGTGAAGCACTAGTGTTAAGCATTAGTCCCCAATTGATGTAGTTTGTTCGTCAAGAGAGCAGGTTCTTGAGGTGCAGGAATCTTGTCAAGAGATTAGGAAATTCGTTGGAATATGTGGACAACTTTTGCACAGGGTAATGAATTTGACTCGACTGCACACTTTGTGACGACAGGGCTTTAGTACCATACAATGAACTAATTTCTATTTAGTAAAGATTGTCGAAGTTCGCTTGAAATGTTGACATTGATATTGAGTTATCATTAGTTTTGCAGTGATAAAGCATATCTCAGGTTTTTTGTATGGCATTATCTTTACAGACTCAACATGAAGGGTGGTGTTGAGAGTCATGGAACTGCTTGTTTCATGAAATGGAAAGTTTTAGCGATTTGCCTTAACATTTTGTTCTTTCATTATATATCTCCTTTGAGAGGCTTGGAAAACATCGTCTTATACTAATCCTTAGGATAAAGTTCACTATTTTTTTGGTAATTATTATGATGTTGTATGTCTTTTATTGACAATTTCAAGTTAATTTTTCTTTAATTTCCAATTTGTAAGGAGATTAGAACTCCACAATAACTTATAATTACCAATTACAGTTCTTTTTTATTTTTTTTGTTAAAGAATAATTAATCAATGTGATTCTTATATAATGTGTTTAAACTACTTTTATATCAATTTGGTCATAAAATTTTGAAGTATGTCTCTAATCATTTTAAAATTTTAATTTGAACAACTCTTTGTAAATAATTAGAATATTTTTCACATAAAAAATATTATTTAGATACTACACTTGGATATTATAATAATTTAGAATACTTTTTCAGTAACTATTATTGTAATTAGATATATAAAAAATTGACAAGGCTATCTATTTTAGATTCAAGTTTATAAAATAAATTATGTCAATTTTTTACAAAAACACAATTGAATTGTTTTTTAATATAGAAAAATTAATAAGTCAAGTATGTACTAAAGACCATCTAATTAACTATAAAAATCTATTTTTTTATAAATTTCAATTCTAAAAGAAAATAGATTTGATTAAATAGAAATAATAAAATTTTATTAAATACTCTCAATTGGTTTTTAATTGATTGTTAATTTATAATAAAAATATTTTAAAATTATATAATAAATTTATTTTTTAGCTTAATTTTGGCTAATATAAAATTTTATTTATAAAAAATATTATTTATTTATTTTTTATTATCATCTATATATTATATTTTTTCAAGTAAATAATTTTTCTATTCTAATAAGTTTATTTAAACATATCAAGTACATAATATATAAATATTCTAGAGAATTGCTAGATAGATGCATCTTTTTTATTAAATAGATATTTCATACAATGCACTTCTATATACAAAATAATATTATTGTCATATAAACATTAATATCATTGTAAGTGATTAGATGTAACTTATATGATGTTTTTTTGAAAATACATTGAACTTGGTGGTGGAGAATTTGAGTTTTAGATGAGTGGTTTTGGATTTGGTGGCACATGAATGCAAAGAGTATTCACACTAAATCAAAGATGTCCACTTAATGATTTATATAGGAAAAGCAACACTTATTCTTATCACTAACAAATAATATAATAAGATACTAAAAGATTCTATAAATCTTTTTAATCATTCCAAGAAGTCCCTAGTAGATTCTAGTAGATTTAAAAAAGCTTTTGAAAGGTCTTAGAAGGTTCTAAGGAATCTTAGGTGGTTGTAGAAGGTTCTTAGAGACTTGCTTCACCTCTAAGCATTAAGAAAACTTTTCAATGAACTTCCTTAGAAAGGCATAAGTAATAGTGACAAATTGAGAATTATTGTTATTGGAAGTTGTTGACATTTTTAGAAACATTGTGGCCAATTTTTTAAGTACTTGATACATCAAGAAGAAGATTTTGGCAAAAGCTAAAAAGCGATTTGAGACTAATGAGAATTTCAAAGCCTTCATGCAAAATTGAAGGAATGTTGTTCATATTGATAAAGAGGGGAAATTTCAAACCTCTTCAATTCAATTCAAAGAACTAAAACCATTAGAAAGGAAGTTTTTAACTACTAGTAAGAAACTTAGATTCTATATTAGGCTTGCTTTGCTTGTGCATGGACAAAGAAAGTTAAGCATTATAAGCAATTGGTTAGCTCTTGTATAGAAGATAATCACTTGTTTGTAATGGAATGGATTGTACTATCAATTTGGGACTTCGAAGACATATTTGAAAAAATGATTTTACATATAGAAAGTTAAGATCATACCATACATTGTTGTATTATGTGTTGTCTTATTTGAGAATGTATCAAGCACTAGGTTATAGAAGATAGAGTTGAATTTTGCAACTATGCAAGAAATCTTAATAGGTTTTGACTAACTAAGAATAATGTTATCTAGTTTCAACTGAATATTTTTTAATGTCAATATAGAATGCTCAAAAAAACTCTTTTAATAACCACAATCATTTACAAATTCTAATTGCTTGTTGCTTTTATTTTTTTGTAACTTTGAATTTACCTTTCAAATCCTAATCTTAATTAGCAAACTTTAGCAAGGCATAACTTTCAATTTAATTGTTAAAGTTGTATAAAATTTTGTACATGAATATGACTATAAGTCTTTTATAAGATTATAAAAATTCATCCCAATTTAAACTATAATTTGTGTAAAAATACCAAAACACCACACTAATGTCCTTCAACTATAAACTTGAAAGTTGATAAAGAAGTTACTGCAATAAATCATCATTTTTCACTAGTAAACTTTGGCCTAAAATTGGTTTTTAGTTAGTCATTAAGGCTTCTAATCATATACTACGTTTTATTTTATTCCAACTAGTAGATCTTTAAATATTACAAAATCCTAGTCAACCTCAAATTACCCAAAATCTAATACTTTCTTGCACTTATGATTAAATATTACTTATTTGTAATATCATAATGGATTAAATATTACTTATTTGTAATATCATAATGGATTAAATATTACTTATTTTATACACATCTACTACACACAATTGATCATATAATCCAGAAATTCCAACCATAGATGTTGCTCAAAATGTATAAACTAGCAAAAAAGTGCTAATCCTAATTTTATTGTATTAAATCCTAATTTCCAATAAAAATCCAAATTTTGAATAGCTCTTCCAAAGTTATTCCAAAACCAACTAAAACCAAGCCTTTGCCACTAGAACAATCTCAAAGCTTGACAACTCTACAAGTTGATCTCTAAATGTCTTATTATTTATGCCTAAACAACAATTTTAGTGGTTGGGATCTACTTTTGACCATGACTCACAAATATTTGTGTCTTAGACATCAATCCAACCAATCTTAGGGTTCTTTTAGCATCTTAGAATTAATTATATCTACTATTTATCTAATCCACCTTATTTTTATTGTTTTATGGGCTTTCTAAGGTGATAGAAGCATTTTTACAATAAAACACAACGTTAGAGAAAAAATTGCTAACTAACTTTATCCTATTAGATATTAAGAGAAGCAAAATAAAACACAAGACTTTCATAAAGCCTTGTTTAAATGTCTTGAATTCTTGTTGAATTAAGATGATAGAATATTAATTAATAAATCATTTTTATTCATATTTTCTCCCTATGGTTGTATTACAACAGAACAATCTTGTGGAATTGCATGAAAATCCACCAAAAATTTCTTTTTCCATACCAATCCTTTTTGCCACATTATTATCCAAAAAATCTCCTACTATGCTTTGTGCAAGATTCTTAAAGAGTTGAGAAAAAAAAATGACATGATAGGTGACCACACAATCGCAAGTTGCATTAGTTTCTTGCAAACAACAATAGATCTTCCATATTTATATAAACTGAAGGGATTGTTAGACACCAATAAACATCTTCTTTCCAATCATTTTCATTAATGTTGGTAGTTAAAGCCAACTTCATTGGATGAAAAAAATATCATTCAATTCAAGCTTAGAAGGTATACAATTGCAAATTGTTAGATGTTATGACGAACTCTTACCACATCAATAGCTATTGGAGCAACAAGTGAAAAACCTTTCACAAACAAAACAAAATGTAGTGAATCCACAAATTGAATGTACAAGAGGAAGACTTGCTGGTAGTATGGCCTCTCCTCCTTCAAAAACCCAATAGAAACCTTTTGCATTTGAGTTGGTGGAAGGAAAAAAAATAAAAAATAAAAAGAAAAAGAAAAAAGGTTGTGGGGAGTTTGAAGAAATTAGACATAACAAGCACAATTGTCCTCAATTGTTGGGAAGGGGTGTCCACATAATAAAAGAACATGAATATGTATTATACATATTTTGGTAACAAAATTATATCATAAAATTACCAAAGATCAAGCAATTAGTAAATTTCTTGTAATTGAGCCAAACTGTACCACAACAAATGAAAGAAACGATATAGTTTGCAGATTTTCAACGTGGTATGGGTGATACAACAGCAATAATGCGTAATTACCAAAAATGCAACTCAAGCAGATACGTATTTGCAGAATATCCCAATTTGTATGCTTCGTTCAAATAATACATCAAAAGCAAGAGTTAAATTTCTTAAAAGGCTAGAGCTGTTAAAAATTATATCAATATCAAAAACCTCGGAATTGAGATATTAAGCAATTTCTCATTTGAGGATGACATTTTATACCATTTTCTCAAGATTAAACCTATTTGTAACAAGTCACGAGCACCTGGACTGAAGACCTGTCATGAGACTAGAAAGCATGTATCACTTGAAACAGATTCGTTTCTTAGGTATAACATAGTAAGATCATAACGCTTTCCGTTAAATAAAAGTTGTAACAACGGACACGAGCGATAGTATTACCAGAGAAGAAAGAGAGAACAGCCCAAATTTTAAGTTCACAAGATAGAAAGAATCCTATAGCTTTATTGCAGTGTGCTTATCAAAATCGCCCCATGTTGAAAAGAATTGGGCAAATCACTTGGTCCGGACACATTCCAAGTGATCCTGTGTACCTCTGCTAATTTCTACTAGAAGTTGTTGGGTTTCAACACCAAAATTGTCAGTAAAATTTACTCTGAGGTCGACTTCTTCAAATATGCGATAAGATCTGCTCGCTCTTGTGGCTTCTTCAAGCCGGGGAAAACCATCTTGGTGCCAGGAATATACTGAAACCAAAAACAAAGTGATAGTTCTCACGATCAGAAACGCGCATTCACGGGACGTGACTGAATTCAATCGAAGAAGGAACAAACTTTTCATTCAGGCCTTTCCAGCAAGTTATTAAGCGAGAGTATTCATCAATTACGCATGAAACTGTTACATCAGCCTACATTGGCGTTCATAGAAAATACAACAAAAGTATACATAGAAATACTCCAGAAACGAGGCCTCGTCTATTTACATGTGCATTCCAACTAGACTTATATTCCAAGCCCACAAGCACCACTATTTGTTGTAAAATCTACTTTATCATTGAAATCAAAAAAAGGATATTCACAAAAACTACCTTCTTTGGGTTCAATAAATACTCGTACAGCTTCTCTTCTTCCCATTCGACGGCCTTATCTTTGTTGGCTTTAGAGTAGGCATATCCAGGGGTGGTCCCTGAGGTCCTTCCGAATAGACCATGCAGGTTAGGACCTGTAACATAATGTCATTTACATTTAGATCAGCTGATGTTGAAAACATACTCCGACTCGCCAACACAAAAGCGCGTTAAGAGGCAACTCCCAACACTAGAAGAGAAAAATTCGAAACCAAGGAAATTCAGTAGCTACACGTGACCCGTTGGCAAAAATAATGTCCAGCCCCGTCTGGTCCCAGTTACCATGTGCTATATGCAAATTTCAGAGGAATTACTGAGCAAAAATTGCAGTGGTTCATCATTAGCAGGCGCAGCGGTCTGACTGAGCTTCGATATCCAAGTAACCAAACGAGTAACCGTAACTCACTCATTGCTCAACATTCAGATAGAATCAAGCTATCCTTGCTTGGTCCTGATACGATTAACATAATTAAAGACACAACAAAACCTAGAACAACATTAAACACGCAAAACCCAGGGATACAAAATGCTAGTATTTTGTATGTTCAGAAAAGAAAGGCAAGGATAAATCAATTACAGAACACCGGTCATTCAGGGAAATGGGCCGCAAGCTGAGAATCATAACCACGCAACAAAGATCTGAGATAAGATCCACAAAATCACACAAATTACATCCATAGATCTTATTTCGGTCCAATCGACGGAACCGCTTAAGTAATTACATGCTCATCTTCTTCAGACATGTATCAGACGGAGATAGTATTCGTCTGGATTTAACTTTAGACCCTTCCCGAAGAACAACAAGGGACCAAGCATACTATTAATCCGACCATACCGAAAGTCGAACCACATTATCGACACCACTCTAATAGATCCTTTACCCTGAAAGACAGCTACTAGTACTAAACATCATTTAACGAAGAAGAACAAGAGGGGATAATAACAATAACAATAAAAACAAAAACAGAAAAATGTATGCAAAATAACGTTGCCACAAACGGTGCGAACGACAATGCTGCGAAGCAAACAGGGCGCTCACCTTGTTTGTGGCCGGCGGCCTTCTCGACGGCGTGGCACTGTGCGCACTTCGTCTTGAAGATCTTCTCTCCGGCCTTATCATTGCCCTTGGGCGCCTCAGCGAAGGTAGCCATGGCGAAGAAGAAAGGATGCAGAGAAAGGCGAAGGCAGGCAAAACCCTAGGGCTTCGCCGCGGTGAGCTCCAAAACCCGAGCCCTGAAGAAGGAGATGGAGAATGCTGCTAATGGAGCGAAGGCGGCAGCGTGCGGGGTCTGTAAATCGCGGCGACGCTGGCTTGGGACTCCTGGGGAAGCGGCCGCGCCCCGTGCCTGTCGAGAAAGGCCGGGGGGGGTGTGGAGGCCGGGTGGCCCCGGGACCACGCGATCGGACCCGGGAAAGTCGACGTTTTATTGATTTCATTCGTCAGTATCATTTTTCCAATTCTGCGTGAGTTTCATTCATCCAATTCTTGCTTGACTCAGGTTCAACGTGCCTTGACCACGACATATCAGAATACAAAGGGGTTTTGAAAGTATTGGCAGTTTGATAATTGGTTTGTCATATAGGAACAAAAATAAGCTCAAATTGTACATGAATTTTAGAAAATCTTTCTATGCATATATATCCAATTGTAGAAATTGTTGCATGGCAATGAATATAAGATCATCTTACAAATTAATAATAGAAAAAGCTTACCATTTACATCATCACATTAAGATATTTTTTACAAAGTTTGATATTTAGTAATTGTCATCTTATTTTGATGTCAAAGATTGCTAAATTAGGGCATCATATAATTTTTAAAACTAATTTAAAAAAAAATCAGAGCCGATATAATAAAGTAATAATAATAAATAATAAATAATAATAATAAAATGGATTTTCTGCATTAAAAAATGAATGACAGAGTAACAAATGCTATTATTTAAGTTGGTTTTAATAGATTAAAGTAAGCCATGATCACGTTGAAATAAAGAATAATATTTGATACTTAGAAAAGCCAATGAATGTAGTTCAAAATTCAATGGAACCCTAGTTTGATATTCATATTTGTAGATATGTTGTTGATTGAGATATATTTGTGTATAATAGTATTTTTTTTAATCTACTTGCAAAAATAATATCAAAAAATTGTAATATGTTTGGTCTTCAAATGATGTTTAGAATTAATGGTAAGTGCTATGGTTGGTTGATTATTTCTATAAAGTATTATTGTGTGAATGTTGGCACTTGTATAATTTAATATTTAAAGATGTTATTGTAACTAAAAAACTTCTTGGGCTATAATAGAATATTTCATATATTTGGCTTCTACAAAAGTGGTTGTAATTATTAATTCCATATAAGATTTGCATGAAATGAAACCTCATCTAAATTTAAACAAATACCTCTACAAAACTTGTAATTAATCATACCATCAATACATGAAGCAATTGTGTATCCTTTAAATCTAAGATTATATATCTCAATATTGAGTGGTGAAGTGCCTTTATGTTTGTATTAGATACCAAGATTAAAAATAAGAATAATATTATTTATTATATGATATTTTTTAATATTTAAAAAAATTATGAGTATATTATCTCAACTTTGTATATTTTTTAACAAGATTTTCTTTGGTTAAAATGCTAATTATATAAGGGAGTCAAGTTGGACTTGAAAGCTTTGCCAAACTTCAAGATTTGTAACATCTATAGATGATTCTAGAGTTACAATATCTGTTGTAAGTATAGAAGAAGGTATGCAATTATCTATATGAAATTCATATAATGTCTTTATTACATAATCATCCTAAATAAGAGTAATTGAATATTTATAATATTTCTATATTATTTTGATTTTGAAGATATTCTTAAATGTTTATCATATTTCTCAATTGATACTTAGAATCTATAATTCCTTTCATATTTTTTTTTCTTATTAGTTTTTAAGAAATAATAATGATGTTATTAATCTTTAAATATAATAAATTATCCATTAAATGACATGGCATATAAATATATAAAAATGGTAAATTAATTCCAAACTTAGAAAAATAATTAGACATATTGGAAACTTATCCTACAAATTAGACATGTATTTTATAAGTTCGACATGTATCATATGTCATATAAGTCATTGCCAAATAATTCTTTGATAAATAGTATATATATATATATTCATATTATTAATAGTATTACCAAACCTCATTTTTGTACTTAGATAAATAAAACATTGAATTTTGTTTTGCCAAATGATCTCTTATTTTTTAAGTGAATTCTTAGTTATAATGTTAAAAAAACTATTAGTCAATTTGATACATAAGTCAATTTGATACAAGAATATTTTCTAATAGATCTTTAAATTCTCAAGTAAGCTATTTATTTACTTGAGAGTATTACAGATCTATTCTTTGAAATGATAGGCATAAGGGCATCTTCATGTTAATTGAACCAATTCATATTATGACATAAATATTGATTTATTTTAGAATCTACTATTTAAATACATGATGGATTCTTTTCTTAAGCTCCAAATATTCAATTGCTTTACTTTGAATAAATGTACCAAAGCAAGCCTATTCATTTAGTTGCTCTAAAGTTTGATTTGTAATACATATATTGTTAAGTTCAAGCTTCAATTTCTTTTCTTAAATCTTTTTAAGCATATGTAGACTTAAGATCCAACTTTCTTTGTATAAGTGAAGATGTTTTAACCATTACTTATTTTCCTATAGCAAGCATTGCCAATTCTATTTGTAGTACTTAAGTCACCACAAATTTTTTAACAATTTGTTCAAATCCATCAATGATTTAATTGTTAAGAGAAGAAAGCTAAGGAACTTTCTTTAGTTGGCTTTGCATTTGTTCTTGTTTCTTGGTTTCTCAATGTGAAAAATGTGAATCCAACATGGTGATGAATTGTAACACTTAAATTCCATCTTAAATTCCAATGCTTGTTTTCTTACATTTGTTGGCAACCATCCAAAATTTGTTGCATAATGATTGTTAAACTCAACACAAAGACAGTAGAGTGTTCAGTCTTGTGACATGAACCTTGTAGTGAAATTACTTCGTCTTTGTTCATGGTTTGAGTTTAATGAGTATCATTAATGCTACTACATTCACACACTTTCAAAGTTTTTCCAAAGCACAACCAATCCACATTCTTAGATGAAAACTAGAAGTGTGCTTCGAGTAGCATTACCATAGCATTTAAAACCGAAAGCGGCTCACTTTCCAATCTCGCCACCCAGCTGTTCATTTTAAAGATATTCCCAACTTCAGCCTTTTTCGAAGGAATAATGTTAGCAGCTCTCCTAGTCATCTTTCTACCATTTATAACACCATTCAACCTTTACATGCAAGTCGCAACAACATTCCAGTATTAGTGCTTTTTCCGAATCTACTGATAATGAAGCAATACCAACTGCCATCATCGAACCAGCACGGACCCAAAGCTAGTACCAATACCTGCTCGATCTTGATCCGGAATTGCAATCCGAACATTCCGCAGATTCCTCTCAACATCCAGCATGAGCTCTTCGAACCCCAGTGATTAATCTTGCATCCACAAACTGCTTCACCCGACGTGCCAAAGGTCCGTCTACATTTACACCTGTGGCTTTGAACGTCAAAGCGAAGACAACACGGTTAACGTCTCCTGCTACATCAGTTTCATACACATCATCGAATACAGACAGCAATGAAGAGACCACGCCACGATACGACTCGGCTCCATTGGGCACCACATTCATGGCAAGCAAACCTCCCGCGTGAAGAAGAGTCCTGGCAGATGAGAGGAATTTATGTCCTAAGAAACTTGATGGAGGAGAACTCAATTTGCCCCGTGGATCTCCTTCATCGATGTCGACAATCACAGCATGAACTCGATGATCTTCACCTTCACCTGCAGAGACATTCCTACTCTTTTCACAGTTTGAGGATTTGGCTTGGGATCTAGCATCGTCTACTGCGATCTTCCAGGCTAGTTCGTCCACAATTTGAAGCGCATCTCCGACTAAGACTTCCATGTCGACGCCATTTTTCAGGCCGAAATGTCGATGGGCAAGGTCGAGCACAACTCTGTCCATATCCACAGCCTGTGACCACCAAATCATATCACTTCGTATGGTACTTGGACAAATGGGTGAAGGAAAATCAATCTGCAACTTCGGAGTGTGTAAAGACATTGGATTTTGTAGATGTGAAATACCTGTACACGGAACCCTAGGTAGTTTTGCAGAAAAATTGGAAGTGCACCACCACCAACCCCAAGTGCCAAGACCTTGGCCTTGTCGCCACGCTCCACACAGGATTCAATGCAGGATGCCGCAAGAACTAAGCCTGCCACAATTGGTGGAAGATACTTGTGTACTAACTTACTATGATCGATTTGGAAGCCAGTCAATGTGTCTTCACAAAATGCTCCTGCTGATACCGTAATAATCCCGGTGTTGACGTTGCCGTCGTCAGAAATCGTCGTTCGAGGATCTTTTAGGGTTTGAGGATTACCGAAAAGATGAGATTCAGTCTGGATCAAATTAGGCATACGCTTAAACCGCAACCGACGTCGGTACACCACTCTCTCTAATTTTCTGCACCCTCTACTGCCCATTCTATGTGAACACTCAGCCGATGGCAGAGCGCTACTTTCAGATTCCAGGAGTTCAACGTCCGAATCATCTAAGACGACATCTTCAACCACCATTGCACCTGTCAAAGATGAATTTGATTCTTCGACTACAACACGATGGATGATGTTGTCGGAATACCCAACAAACGGAACAACGGGAATTCTGCCACCCCTGAAGCAAACTCTTGGGGCGAGTGCAACAACGAGAGAACCCAATCTTGCCTTGAGAGCTTCATCCTCGCATTGCAAACAACTGGGCCGATATGTGGTTCCCTTGAGCCTCGTCACATGACGCCTTTCTTCGAGGCTCGCTTGACCTCCCGATTGGCCACTGACACCCTGATTTTTAGTCCCATCAACTACCGATGATGTCAAGTTCCTCTGCACGATGACCATTCTCGAGACTTCAGCATTAACCAGGAGCTGCCATTGCCCACCCTCGGAGCTATACACCCAGTCGTCTTCTTCCCCATCAGGCACCAGCATAGCAGCACAAGTCACTGTCTCCCAACGAATGGTCGAGTCCAAAACCGCAACGCTCACGGTCTCATCGGCACGAATGGGGAAATCAAACACAATTCGTCGCCCAGGGTGGAGATTCTCGAATGCACGCGGCTCAAGCTGATCCATGGCAATCCAGCCCTCACCTTCACGCGCTCTAAGATGCCTTCACCGCTGCTGCAAGCATGGAGAACATACAAACTCCCTCGCATTGAACTCAGTCCCCGAATCCACCAAAATCTGTTCGAAATTCAGCACCGACAACTTGGCTGCAATTCAACGGACTGAACACAACAACAAGCAAGCGAGAAAACTCCCCCAGAGTAAACACACCGACTCGGCCGATCTCGTTACAACCAGTTTGGCCGGTCATCTATTACATCCAGCCATTTAGTATTTAGTTGTAACTACGCCCCCCAACCTTCCAACTACTCCTGTTTCTTCTTTTTCTTTGATGTGTTCAAACCATAACTTTTTAAAGACTAGGCAAAGTTTTTAAAAATGTAGTGTCTCTTCATTGGCTGTGAAAGAATACTAAGTGCTTTCACTAGGGTAGGGTGGTAAGAGAGGTGTTGCCCATTGGGGAGAGAGAGTTGAGGGTGAAGAGAAAAATTAAAAAGAATGCAAATACCTCACAAATACTAAAAGCACAAGTTTTGGAGCTTAATTCCATGACCTCATGCATCTATGTCTATTTCTTTTCTACTATCTTTAATCTCTTTAATGTTTGGGATAATTAATAATATAGTTTATTTGACTAAAGAAAACCATGTTCTTACTCTTTACTCGCTTATTGCATGAAGGCAATGGACATGCATCAAGTAAGGATAGGGATTGAAAGAATTACACTTTGTAGATGATAATTTGTAAGAAAAATTCATTTGAGGACCTTTATTTTAAAAATATCATATAGAATTGCAAACTTAGAAGTTAGGTTAGTCTTAAAAAAGATAAAAATCTATATAATAAAGAAGCTTAAATATAAGACAAAGAGACACATAAGCCTTGTAATTGGTTGAAATCAAAGATATTGTTTTATCAATAAAAAGCATTATTATTTGAAAAGCAAGAGGTGCTATTTATAATTTAAGAAATAATCAATATAAATGTAGCATTGCAATATTTTTGTTTTAATAGAATTAAAAGCCTTGGTAGTTCAAGAGCACAAAGAAGGCTTGCAAATCAAGCTCAAGTACCTAATTCATTCTATGTTTCTTATGCTTAACTGAGGTCCTACTATTGCATAGTTTGTTGTGTGGTTCTCATACTTTGATCCGGATTTTGGAATCCATTGTCATGGTCTTAAGATATCCTTTTCTATAGACAAAGATAGTCATTGGTTTATTACTTTGAGATTCTTTACTTCCTCTGCCTTCATTGTCTCTTCAACACAATTTTTATAAGGATCATCAAGTTTTTTTTATTTCATAACTATTATTTGATTGTTTACTTATCTTTTTTTGGTATTTTTTTGGATGTGAACAATAATAGAATGAATTCTAAGAAGGTTAATCATAGTGATTGAATTTCAAAAATGACTTCTTGAAGCATACTTTTTTTGTATTCGTATCAGGGACAAGAACTTGATGAAAGTAAATAAATATGTATAACAAAATGAAAATGAATAAGTATGTATATTGAAAAGAAACTGGAATGGCTATTGTCAAAAGACAAGGAAACTAGACACTCTTGAATCTAGATTAGAAGCAAGAAAGGAGTTGACAAGAGTAGAGAGGACTTCCCTTTTGTTTCTATATATACTATATAAATAGGAGATATGTGATGATATTCTATAGGACCTTTAATATGTATTGACTTTATAGGACACATGCGTTAGCTTATAAGACAAGTTTTCTATGTGTACACCACATAATTACCTTGTTCTTCAAGTTACCAACATGTGTGGTACATGGCTAACTTGTTGATCACGTTTTTAATCTAAAAAATTAATTATAGATACCTATAAAGTCAAAGTAATATCTATAAAGCTTCTAAAAAGCTTTTATAGAAGATATTATAAAATTAATCTACTTTTGCCTAATTTTACCTACTTCTATTTAATCATATAGGTAATTATTGATTTACATGTATATGCCTATGACATCACCTCTTATTTTAAAGAGAATTTCCACAAAGAGTAGTTATTATATATTGAAGAAATTCAAGATGTGGCAAATTATATTTGCCACATACTCTGATCTTTGTTCTCTTTTAAGATAATTGATAAGGCCTCTCAACCATCAATAGTGTCCCATATTAGGGCAGGAAGACCACCAAATTATTTAATCATTGTTGAGGCGTTCATAACTTCCTTCAAAGAATTGAAACACCATCAAGAGTTATTCTTACTTCTAATAAAATCACCAAACATAAAAAATCCTTTTTCAAGATTGTCATATCAAATGTATTATATCTTGCCATTTATTCGAGGAAGAACATGTCATTCTTGAAGATCTTCATCTCGATTGCATCATCTTGAAGGTTAAGACAATTGCAATGTTTCATCCAAGAAGTTAGCAAATAAAGGCTCTTGAGTCGAATCCATTGGTTGTTGGTTTTCCATCTCTTTAATATTACAAATACAAAGAAACTACAATAAGGATAGAAAATAGAATGTTATCTTACCTAGATCTTGTTTTTTTTATAGAAAAAGTCTTTATCTTGATTTTAATAGATATTGTTGATGAAAAGCCTCCACCTTCATTGTTGCATTTGCAAGATTCTTTGTTGGCTTCTATGTGCATTCACCAATATCATATCCATATCAATGAACAAGATATTCCAACCTATTTTGGTGCTGCCTTGAATCTACAACTTCTTCCACTTCAAATTCTTCATTATTGTCTACTTCTATAAAAGAAAGCGACTCTTGTCTTCTTCTTAGTATATTCACTATCTTGTATGGTTCAAGAAAAGATACATGGAATAGATAATAGATCTTTATTGATTCTGGTAGGTGTAATTGATATACAATTAGATTGATTTGTTTAAAAATAAAAAAGGTCTAAGTCTACAATAGTCCAACTTGTCACGAGGACAAATAGTCTTGATATTGTAATCAAGTAACCATATCTTGTCATCCATGTTGAATTGTGGTTATTCTTTTTGATAGACATCTGCATAGATCTTTTGTTATTCTTGAGCTTTCTTCAATTACGCCTTTATTGTTGCATGTAGCTTTGACAAATGATTTACCAAAACTTCTATCATAGGATTATCAAAAGTATTGAAAAGTCAAAAGTATCAAGTTATGGATAATAACCATAATTGGCAAAAAAAAGGTATTTTTTACATAGAAGAATATATCATATTATTATAAATAAATTCTGTGAATGGTAAAAGAGTTTCTCAATTGTCTTGTTAGTAATTGATTATACACCTTATATATTGTTCTAAAACTTGGTTTACATGCTCCATTTGTCCATTAGTTTCAGGATCAAAGATCAAAGATAGTTTTATGTCTACCTTTAGAATCTTAAAAAAGGTTCTCCAAAATCTTGATACAAATTGAGTTTCCTTATCTAATATAATATCCTTAGATAAGCCATGATATCAATAAATATTGTTAAGAAAAAGCTTGGTTATTTCTTCATTTGTGATAGATTTTGTACACGGTACAAAATATGCCATCTTTGTAAAAAAATCTACTATCACAAATATAGAATCATACAAATGTGAGACTGAAAGATTATGATAAAATCCATAGAAACAAAAGACCATTGTTGTTTTGGAATAGGTAATGGTTGAAGAAGTCCGTAAGATTGATGACATAGAGTTTTTAAACTTAAACAAATATTACAGGATTGAACAAAATCTTTGACCACCTTTTACATTTGCGGCGACCAAAAATCTCTAGATATGAGCTCTAAAGTCTTGTTGTATCCAAAATATCTACCTATTGAAAATTATGGCATACTTAAAAAACATGTAAATGTCCTTCTGCTTCTGAAATATATAGATGTTCTTTGAAATAGAGTAGGTTGTTTATAAATTCAAATTTGGAAGCATTATGAGACTTAAAAAAATGATTCTTGATATCATAAATAAGAAAATTAGAAGACATACTTGATTGAATTTGTTTGAAAAAGGTTGAATCAATAATAAATGTTGATTTCATTATTTGAAGATGAAAATATTTGAATTTCAAGAAAATTTTTTCTTTGTTGATTAAAAGATGCGTCTCTTTCTTTTGATATAAGTTAAGAATTTTTTGAAAGAGTGTTTCAGAAAACTTATTATTTTTTAGGTCAATATGTGATCTTAAAATTAAATCTTAATATAAACATGTTCTAATGGACTTGGCGACGATTCAAAACATGTATTAACATGAAGAATATAAGATTCTTATGATTTATATCTATGGTGACTCGATTGGAAGTGCCAATCCATAATAGTTTGAACTTTCTTAGGATCCAACATAAGTCTATCATTTAAAATGATGTAACCTAAGAAATCAACTTGAATAGTCTCAAATATATATTTTTCTATCTTAGTATAGAGTCCCACATCTCTTAATTTTTTTAACACATGATAAATATGAAGTTCATGTTCTTTTTAGAATAAATCAAGATGTTGTCTAGATAACAAATAAAAAAATCATCTAAAAACTCTCAAAAAATATCATTCATAAGATATTGAGAAGTTCTTGGTGCATTTATAAGTCTAAAAGGCATGAAATTATATTCAAAATATCTTTACCTAATTCAAAATGTAATCTTCTATTTATCTTCTTCTGTCAAAGATATGAACTAGAAGAAGATGCATAAACCTAAAATATTTTTATAAAAAAAAAGTAAAAAAATATTAATAAAGTAATATGTATATTGAAAAGAAATTAAAATGACTATTGTCAAAAGACAAAAAAACTAGAGATTCTTAAATCTAGATTAGAAGCATGAAAGAAGTTGACAAGAATAAAGAGAACTTTACTCTTGCCTCTATATTTACTATCTAACTAAGAGCTATATGGCGATGTTTTATAAGACCTCTAATATGTGTTGACTTTAGATGACATATGCTTTAGCTTACAAGGCAAGTTTTCTATGTGTGTGCCATATAGTTAGCTTGTTCTTCAAACTACCAAAATATGTGGCACATGGCTAACTTGTTGATCACAATTTTAATCTAAAAATTTAATTATAGATACATATAAAGTCAAAGCAGTATCTATAAAGCTTCTAAAAAGCTTTTACAAAAGATATTATGGAATTACTCTACTTTTACCTACTTTTATTTACTTCTATTTAATCATATAGATAATTATTGATTTATATGTGTATGTCCATGATATTACCCTCCTATCAAGGAATAAATTCTATAAGGAGTGATCATCTTATGTTGAAAAAAT